CTAAATAAATAAATAAATAAATAAATCCATGAATGAATGAAAAGGAGACAGCTCCTCCTTGTAAAAATAAAATAACCCTAATGTAAAAAAGATTAAGGACAACAGAAAATCACTGGGGCACAAGAATGTTTTTTGTCAAAGTAATTGCTAAAGGAAAGATTCACGACTGAACACGAAATTAATCCACAAAAGTCTGAAGAAAGACAGAATACTAGGTGCCTCATTTCAAAGTATTTCCACAAAATATTTATCATCAACAAAGGAAAAAACAGTAACTTTACAGTGCAGATACCTGGCAGCTAGTATCAGCCAAGTGATCAAGGTTAACATCACCAAAAATAAGATATCAATATTATATTGCCTGATATGGTATCCCGAGAAGGGCACATAACTTGAGGTATTCTTGCCAAAAATGCACAATCCCCTTCTAATCATGATAAAACATCAGCCATACCCCAACTGAGAAAGAGTCTACAGAACACCTGACCAGTACTCTTCAAAACTGTCACGTCGTGAAAGACAATGAAAAACTAAGAAACTATAACAGAGTAGAATGACATAACAATTAAATGTGATTTGGGATTGTATCTAGGAACAGAAGATGTTGATTAGGTGAAAGACTGGTGAAAATGAATACAGTCTGTAGTTACTACTACTGTACCAATGTTGATTTCATGGTTTTGATCATTGTATCAGGGTGATGTAAGATTTAATATTAGTATAAACTAAGATGAAGACTATATGTACTATTTTCATAATTTTTATCTAAATAAACATTACTATAAAATATAAAGTTTTTAGGCCAGGCACAGTGGCTCACACCTAGAATCCCAACACTTTGGGAGGCCAAGGCGGGAGAATCACAAGGTCAGGAGTTCAAGACCAGAGTGGAGAACGTGGTGAAATCCCGTCTCTACTAAAAATACAAAAACTAGCCAGGCATGATGGTATATGCCTGTAATCCCAGCTACTCAGGAGGCTGAAGTAGGAGAATTGCTTGAACCCAGAAGGCGGAGGTTGCAGTGAGCCAAGATTGCACCACTGCACTCCAGCCTGGGTGACAGAGCAAGAATCTGTCTCAAAAAAAAAAAAGAAGTTTTAAAAATCTTAGGAGACATAAAAGTCAAAAGCAATACATGGGCCTTGTCTGAATATTAATAATTTGAATATGGGCTGGATATTATTTTATATTAAAGAATTATCAATTTTTTAGAGTTATTATGTTAAACATTCATCAGAGATGCATCTTAAAGTATTTCTAGGTGATATTATACATCTGCGATTTGCTTTAAAATACTTCAGAAAAAAGCAGAAAGAGAAAGTCAGATATAGACTGACAAAATGTTGATAATTACTGAAGCTAGGTAGTGGGTGCCAAATGTTTACCTCCATTTATTGAGAGGGAGAATTTTACTGTTTGATTATACAACTCTGAAAAGGTTGGGGTTTACATATACACATGTATGTGTGTGATCTTTTTATGGGTTTTCCCCCCTTATGGAGGGAGGACTGCAAACAACATTACTTTCTTAAGACTTAAAAACAATGTTTTTTAAGCTGGACACAACAGCTCACACCTGTCAATCCCAACGCTTGGGGAAGCTGATACAGGAATCGATACAATGACGGTTGAACAACAGTGTGAATATGCCAGTATTCATAAGGCCCTCTCTCAAAATAAGAGAATATGACTTTTATGTCTCCTAAGATTTTTTTTAAACTTTTTTTTTTGAGACAGATTCTTGCTCTATCACCCAGGCTAGAGCGCAGTGGCGCAATCTCAGCTCACTGCAACCTGGGCTTGAGCCCATGAGTTTGTTTGCGACCAGCCCAGGGAACACGGCAAGGCCTGGTCTCTACAAAAATAGAAACAAAAAATTAGCCAGGTATTGTGGCGTACACCTGTAGTACCAGCTACTCAAGACCCTCTCACAAAATAAAAAATTAAAAAATTATATTAAGGCTAAATACACATAAGATGAAAGTTACCATAACCATTTGTGAGTTTACATATTTGTGGCACTAGGCATATTCACACTGTTGTTCAACCATCACTAACATCCATCTCCAGAACATGATAAAATTTTTTTTAATTTATTTATTTTGGAAAGGAGTCTTGCTCTGTCACCCAGGTTGGAGTACAGTGGTGTGATCTTGACTCACTGCAACCTCATCTCCCAGGTTCAAGCGATTCTTCTGCTTCAGCCTCCCAAGTAGCTGGGGCTACAGACTTGCGCCACATGTCCAGCTAATTTTTGTAATTTTAGTAGAGAAAGGGTTTCACCATATTGGCCAGGCTGGTCTCCCAAAGTGGTGGCATTACAGGCATGAGCCACCGTGCCCAGCCAATAAAATTTTTTTTAATTCAAAATAATACCCAGGTGTGATGGCTCATGCCCGTAATCCTAGCACTTTGGGAGGCCAAGACGGGCAGATCACTTGAGGTCAGGAGTCGGAGACCAGCCTGGTCAATATAGTGAAACCCTGTCTCTACCAAAAATATAAAAAATGAGCCAGGTGTGGTGGTGTGTACATGTAAACTCGGCTATTCGGGAGGCTAAGGCAGGAGAATCACTTGAAAACAGGAGGTGGAAGTTGCAGTGAGACGAGATCGTACCACTGCACTCCCGTCTGGGTGACAGCAAGACTCTGTCTCAAAAATAATAATAATTATTATTACTATTATTTAAATTCTAGTCATTTCTTTATTGACTAGTTAATACATTCACATAATTAGAACTTTAAATAAAGATACATAAAAGGACAGAAAGAGAAAAGACTCCTCCTAACTCTGTCTCCAGCCTCCCAGCTCCTTTCAAGAAGCAGCTAATCTAGGCCAGGTGTAGTGGCTCATGCCTGTAATCCCAGCACTTTGGGAGGCTAAAGCAGGCAGATCACCTGAGGGAAGGAATTCGAAATCAGCCTAGCCAACATGGCAAAACCCCATCCCTACTAAAAATACAAAAATTAGCTGGGCATGGTGGCATGCATCTACAGTCCCAGCTACTACGGAGGCTGAGGCAGGACAGTCACTTGAACTTTGGAGGCAGAGGTTGCCATAAGCTGACATCATGCCACAGCACTCCAGCCTGAGCAACAGAGTTAGACCCCACCTCAAACACAGAAACCAAACCAAACTAAAACAAAACAAAACAAAACAAAAAAAGCAAGACAAATGCAGCTAATCTTAATTTGTCCAGGATTTTGATACACTTACCCAAATTCTGCATACACACACACATATAAACAAACATACACCTTTTTAAGGCAACTGAGAGCCTTAAAAATGTTTACTTAAAAATATGTATCTCTAAATATCTACTTACTCTAACCCTCTTCCTTCAAAAGCCCACATAACACTCCAGTGAAGCTTTCCCAGACCACCAAGGTTAACAGTGGCCTTCTCCTCCTCTTATAAATCAGCTCTGATTTGTCATTACAGAATTGGCTCTTTTCATATGACACCAAGACTTCAGGCAACTTGTAAAAGGGGATCATGCCATATGACACAGTACCTTGTGCCTAATAAACACTTGCTAAACGTTGATCTAAAGAAAGGGAACACTGGAAAACAAAACTAAAGACCAATGACATAGTTTTTGGACATAAAACACATTGGGAACAAACAGTGTCTCTTCAAAGGGGTTCACCCCCTTGTCCTTTATTTTATTTTACAAGTAATCTTTCCCACCTTTAACATGCCCAGGCATGCCTCCATTCACCAAGCTTGTAGCCAACTCACACCCCCTTACTTTAAGTTGGTAGGTACAAGCAATAAACTTCCTGGTTCTTTGTCCTATTCTAAATGCTAAATGTAACCAATAGAGATCAGTTTAGATTGTACTACAACCCCAATTAACGGGGAGAGCACACAGAAACAGGGATAGTTTTTAGGAATAAAATCCCTGCTTTCCTTTGTTGGGTGTGCTCTTGCCACTACTCTGTATGCTAGAAGCACCGCTCTGCAGAGGTAAATTGTCTTGCTCAGAAAACTTTTTGCCTGGGTGCTCATTTCCTTTGCAACTCAAAGCTCTTATTTCCAACAATTTGAGGGTTCGTCCAGTATCCCATTCTCCTCCAGGGAGGGGTCTCCAATCATCTCTCATAGACAATCAAGAAGAATAGCAAAGTCAAGCCATGTTAGGTAAGTCTGAAGCAGAAAGTATATAAATTCAAGAGGGGGAAAATTGTTGGGAACAGTTTCTCTTTAAAGGTTTTCACTCCCTTGTCCTTTGTTCTATTTTGTAAGTAATCTTTCCTGACTTTAACATGCCCAGGCATGCCTCCAACCACCGAGTTTGTAGCCAACCCATACCACCTAACTTTAAGTTGGTAGGTACAAACAATAAACTTCCTGGTTTTTTGTCCTATTCTAAATGCTAAAGCTAGCCTATTGGAATCAGTTAGATTATACAATCTGACCTCAATTAATGGTCCAACCCCAATTAACAGGGGGAGGATACAGAAACAGGGACAGCATTAGGAATAAAAACCCCTGCTTTCCTTTGTTGGGTGTGCTCTTGCCACTGCTCTGTATGCAAGAAGCACCCTTCTCCGGAAGTAAATTGCCTTGATAAGAAAACTTTTCGTCTGAGTGCTTGTTTCCTTTGCGAATCCAAGCTCTTATTTCCAAAAAATATGATTTCTCATTTGTTCTATTTTATTTGTGTATTTATTTGGTAGTTGGTTTATTACTATCCCAAAGATTGCTGTAAGCCAGTCTATCTATCTATGTACTATGCTTTGGGACTTTACAAAGTCAGATTATAAAATCATTGAGATTTTTGTTGAGATATGTAATTTTAATAAAAGTGATGTGATTAGGCAAAGAATCTAAAGCTGGGTCCCAGAGTCTTCCACATAACAGTGCATCTTCAAGAAAGTAGGTGTTCAAAGCAGCTGCATGATCCATAAATCTGGATCTGCCATCTTGGGAGGCTGACAATTCACATGATCATCTATTAACAATTCTGAGGCACTGTGAAAGGAGGAGCAGCAACATGGCAGCTTAGGGAGCTGGTGACCCTCTGGACGCTAAGTGTGTAGAGGACCTGTTCGTTCACTGTTATCAACCCAACTCAGGAGAAGCTGACACCTGTGCAAGTGCAATTCATGCAGCAGGTGCAGCTTGCCCAGTGGCAGAAGGCCCTACCACAGAAGTGGACCTGGAACATCATGACCAGCCTAGGCATCGGGGCCCTGGTATTAGCTATTTATGGATACACCTTCTACCTGATTTCCCAGGAGCGTTTCCTAGGTGAGCTAGAAGACAATGCCAAAGCTGCCTGAGCCCAAGCTCTGTAGAGGGCATCAGGATCCTAATCTGGATGAGCACAGGACATCTCCAACCTGCTGGTGCCCCTTCATGTGGTGAATGATGCCCCATGATCCTGTAGAAATTGAATCCTGCTCACAACATTGTTGGCCTTCCTATTAACCTTAGACCATGACTGAGCCCAAGAAACTAGAGACTTATCCATTTGGCCACTGTCAAAAGAACAGAAGTTTGCCCATCTCACACTTGCTGTGTACAGTGACTGAGCCCTCATAGTTTGTTTCCTTGTTTGAGAGGTGTGCATGTGACCTTGGGTTTTCCCAAAGTTTCTGACTTTGTGTTTTAGCCCCTTCACCTTTCCAGGGATGCAACTGTTATGGGATTAAGCGTGGTAGCTCTGTGCAGTGTTAGAGCCTAAAGTAGAATAGAGTCAAGTTGAAAATAATAAACTGAATCATCTCTCCTGGAAAAAAAAAAAAAAAGATTGTAAAAGGTCAAGCTGTAAAGAACTTAGGTAATTATGGGCAGGCACAGTGGCTCATGCCTATAAATCTAGCACTCTGGGAGGCCGAGGGAGGCAGATCACTTGAGGCCAGGAATTCAAGACCAGCCTGGCTAACATGGCGAAACCACATCTCTACTAAAAAGACAAAAATTAGCCAAGTGTGGTAGCTCGTGCCTGTAGTCCCAGCTACTCAAGAGGCTGAGGCAGGAGAATCCCTTGAACCCAGGAGGTAGACGATGCAGTGAGCCAAAATCACACCACTGCACTCACTCCAGCCTAGACTACAGAGCAAGGCTCTGTCTCGGGGAAGAAAAAAAAAAAAAAAAAAAAGAATTTATGTAATTAAGTACAGAATTTTCCAAACTTACTTAACTGCAACAATCTTATTTTTAAAAAGTTCTTAACATTTCAAAGAGTGTTCTAATGAATAGTTGAAAAGGAAGTAAAGGTCTCTAATGTACTCAATTCCTCACCATGCCTGGCTAATTGTTTTATACTTTTAGTAGAGATGGGGTTTCACCACATTGACCAGGTTGGTCTGGAACTCCTGAACTCCGGTGATCCACCCACCTCAAGCCTCCCAAAGTGCTGAGATTACAGGTATGAGCCACCACAACCGGACTTCTTTTTAAATATTTTTAATTGGAAAGTTGTATGCTACAGGTTTCCTTTCTTCTTACATCTCTTAGTTCAACTACTCTTTACAAATGGTCTACCAATACTTTTCATAATTGTTTTCAAATTTCTACTAATTTTTTGGTCAGGATGACTATACAGCTCTCTTTCCCCAAAACTGCCTCAGTTTATGTTCATATCCCAGAATAATTATTAGTAATGTTTACTTTCTCTCTCAAAAATGCCCCAGTTTGGCATGCTAATGGACACCCTATCTTTGGGCTGTTATTATAAATTCTTTTTATATTGCTTTACCTGGAACAACTTTTTTTTTTTTTGAGACAGGGTCTCACTCTGTCGCCCAGTCTGCAGTGCTGCAATACGATCACAGCTCACTGCAGCCTCGGCCTCCCAGGCTCAAGTGATTCTCCCACCTCAGCTTCCTGAGTAGGTAAGACTCATTTTTTATTTCTTGTAGAGACAGGGTTTTGCCACGTTGCCCAGGCTGGTGTAAACTCCTGGGTTCAAGTGATCCTGTCACCTCCCAAAGTGCTAGGATTACAGGCATGAGCCACCATGGCCAGCCCTGGAATAAGTTTTTCCTTTAAAAAAAATTATCTTTCAGGCCAACTGACCGCACCATGGACAGCATGGTAACCTCCGTTTATTATTTTTTTCTTCTTCACTGTCCCAGTTGGAGGTAACCTCTGTAACCTGCACGTACACTCCAGATGAGTTCCTGGAACTAGAAAGTCTGAAGTAACTGGAAAACCACAAAAGGAGAAGAAATGATCAACCCCCCCAGTGCCTAATTAACTTTGAGACATTCTTCTATTGTTCCTTAATTCCACCTCAACTGATTAAGGCAACTGGACTTTGTAACCAACCTTGGTCAACCTCGTGACTCCATACCCTACGACTCGCTCCCAGCTTGCAAAAACTGCCTGAACTGTAACTTTCCACTGCCTACCCCAAACCTATAAAACCAACTCCTACCCTACCGCCCTGCACTGACTCTTTGTCAGACTCAGCCCACCCACACCCAGAGCACGAGTTTAACATTTGGTGCCAAAATCTGGGATGGGAACTCCTTTGGGAGACCAAACCCCCTGTCCCTGTTCTCCTTGTGCTCTCTCCATGAAGAGACCTACCTATGACCTAGGCTCATCAGGCAGCCCACAGACCCACTCACCATCTTCACATCAGGTAAGCAGTTTGCATTAACTCTTCCTTAGCCCTTCTCGCTACCTGTCATCTTCTCGCTACCTTCATCTCCTTTCAGTTTCATTTTCCTCTCCCTTTCAGCAGAGATAAGAAAGACAGGACTTTCTGTGAGGTTCATGACTGGAAAAAATCCTACATAGGTCATGGAACCAGGAAGACAGTCTTCCCTCAGTGACTGATCACTGTGGAGACATCTGCTCTGGTCATTCATTCACACTCGAGGGTGACGGATCAACGAGGGGGACACCCCCTTTGACTGATTCACCCCAGGTACAGACCAAGGTTTAGTCTGGGACACCTGCTAAGCTTCTTGGTCGCACACTTTTCCTGCCTCCACCACTCTTCTTAAACTATGGGCAACCTCCCGCCTGCCATTCTCCCTCCTCTCCCTTAGCCTGCATTCTAAAAAACCTCAAACCTCTCTGGCTATCGCCTGACATAAAACCGAAGAGTCTTATTTTCTTCTGCAATACTGGTTAGCCACAATATAAACTGGACAATAGTTCTAAATGGCCCGAGAATGATACCTTCGATTTTTCTATCCTGCAGGATCTAGATGACTTCTGTCATAAAATGAGAAAATGGTCTGAAATTCCCTACATCCAGGCATTTTTTTACACTTCAAACCCTCCCTACTCTCTGCTCTCAATGCAACCTGTCCCAAATTTTCCTTCTCTCCCTTCTGTCCGCCCCTCCTGCCTCTGCCAGTTAACTCAGAATCCTTCTTGTCCCTCAACTCATCTGACCTTTCTCCTCCCCGCCTGTCTAATCCAGACCTTAATCCAGGCCCTAATCTCTCCCCAGAGCTTCCTTCCTCTTCCTCTTCCTTGGCCCAAAACCCACTTCCTTATGCTCCTGCTGTCACTTCCCCACCTCATACTCCATCTTGCTTGCAGTTTAGTTCTGCAGCTAATTCCTCCACTCCGCCCATCAATTCTCACTTCAATGAGTCTCATCGTACTCAGGAAGCTAAGGTGGCTGAATCCAAAGGCATAGTAAGTGTGCACATTCCTTTCTCTTTATCCAACCTTTCCCAAATCAGCCAATGGTTAGGCTCCTTTTCATCAGGTTGTCCAAATACTTAACCCAGTCCTATAATCTCACCTGAAGTGACCTAAATGTCATCCTTACTTCTCTACTCTCCCCCCTGAAGAATGTTTAACATGCATTTTATCATCCAATCAGCCCCTGACATTAAATAAGCTACAGAAATTAAAATACGACCCTCAAACCCCACAACAGGAAGTAATCAATCTCGCCTTCATGGTTCTCAATAAGGAATAAGTTGACCGGTGGCAGCATATCTCAGAACTACAGATGCTTGCCTCTGCCTTAAGACAAACCTCAGCCTTACCACTGCCTCACAAAGACTTCAAAGCGACCAGACTGCAGTGTCCAGCCACCCCTCCCGGACCTTGCTTCAAGTGTCAGAAACCTGGCCACTGGGCCAAGGAATGCCCGCAGCCTGGGATTCCTCCTAAGCCTTGCCCCATCTGTGCAGGCCCCCCACTGGAAGTTGGACTGTCCAACTCACGTTGCTGCTCCCACAGCTCCTGGAACTCCAATGCAAAGCTCCTGGACTGAATCTTTCCCAGATCTCCTCGGCTTGGCAGCTGAAGACTAACACTGCCTGAACATCTCGGAGGCCCCCTGGACCATCATGGATGCTGAGCTTAGGTTAACTCTTATGGTAGAGGGTAAGTCCGGCCGTCCTCTTCTTAATCAATGTGGGAGCCACCTGCTCCACGCTGTCTTCTTTTCAAGGACATGTCTCCTTGGCCTACTTAACTATTGTGGGAATTGACAGCAAGGTTTCCAGGCCTCTCAAAACTCCTCAAGTCTGGTGTCAATTAGGCCAGTAGTCCTTTCCACATGCTTTCCGAATCGTCCCCACTTGTCCAGTTCCCCCGTTAGGCCAAAATATCCTAGCAAAATTGTCTGCCTCCTTAACTATTCCTGGGCTACAGCCGCACCTCATTGCCGCCCTCCTCCCTGATCCCATACCTCCCTCAATAGCTCCCCTGCTTGTGTCCCCTTATTCATGGGTGCAGGACACCACCTCCCATCCCTTGCTAGAAGTCACTCACCTCTCATCATCCACTTAAAACCTAACCACCGTTATTCCACCCAGCACCAGTACCCCATCTTACAACAGGCTTTAAAAGGCCTAAAGCCTGTTATCATCTGTCTTTTACAACATGACCTTTTAATTCCTACAAACTATCCTTACAATTTCCCTATTCCACCTGTCCAAAAACCAGACAAATCCTACAGATTAGCCCAAGCCCTCCGTCTCATTCATCAGATTGTGCTTCCCATCCACCCAGTTGTATCAAACCCCTATACCTTCCTATTTTCCATATCCACTTCCACAACTCACTATTCTTGACCTGAAAGATGCCCTTTTTACCATTCTCTTATACCCCTCATCTCAGCCTCATTTCACCTTTATTTGGACTGACCCCGACATCCACCAGTCCCAGCAGTTAACTTGGACTGTTCTTCCCCAAAGTTTCCAAGATAGCCCTCATTACTTTAGTCAAATCCTTTCTCAAAACACTTTTGCTTCTGGATACCAGGTTTTGCCCTACTAGCCAAACCACTTTATAAACTTACAAAAGGGAACTTAGCTGAGCCCATAGACCCTAAATCCTTCCCCCATTCTTTCCTTTCGTTTGTTAAAAAAAGGCCCTGGAAATGGTCCCTCCACTAGCACTCCCCAATGCCTCCCAACCCTTTTCCCTTTGCATAGCAGAAGTAAAAGGCTGCGCAGCAGGGGTTCTTACACAAAAGCCAGGCTCACAACCAGTCGCCTTCTTGTCCTCACAGTCCTAGGCTGGCTGTCATGTTTACACACAACAGCTGTAATACTCCCAGAGTACCTTAAAAGTACAGGTTACCCCCCACTTACTCTCTGTACCTCTCACAACCTCCAAAATTTAGTTACCTTTTCACACCTCACATACTTACTTTCAGCCCCTCGCCTTCTCCAGCTTTATGCACTCTTTATTGAAACCCCCACGGTAACCATTGCTCTCACACCTGACTTCAACCAAGCCTCTCACTTAATACCTAACACAAACCCTAAACCCCATGACTGCATCTCCCTAATCCATATAGAATCCTCCCCATTTCCCCATATTTCTCTTTTTCCTATTCCAGACCCAGACCACACATGGTTTATTGACAGCAGTTCTTCAAAGCCCAGTCGGTTGGCACTGGCCAAAGCTGGGTTATGCTGTTGTATCCCACTCATCTATCAAAGCTGTCACACTTCTCCCCTCCACGCAAGCTAAACTAATTGCCCTAACCCATGCTCTTACTCTTGCCAAAGGACTACATGTTAATATTTATACTGACTCTAAATATACCTTCCACATCCTACACCACCATGCTGCCATATGGGCAGAAAGAGGTTTTCTCACTACACAAGACTCCTCTATTACCAATGCCCCCAGTAAAGGTCCTCCTTAGGGCCACTATCCTCCCAGCCAAGGCTGGAGTTATCCACTGCAGAGGACTCAGGATTCAAGCCACTCCTAAAAACTCACAGGGTATAGCCCCTTTGAACTCCTAAATGGCTGCACCTTTCTGCTTGGGCCTAACCTTATTCCAGACACCAGTCCTCTTGGTGACTATCTTCCAGTCCTCTAACAGGCCAGCCAAGAAATCCACCAGGCTGCTAATTTCCTCTTACCCACTCCAGATACCTGGCCATATGAAAACACCCTAACCAGAAGGTCAGTCCTAGTTAAAAGCCTAATCCCTTAGTCTCTGCAACCTCAATGGACAGCACCCTTCCTGGTAGTCTACAGCACCCCAACCACTGTCCGTCTACAAGACCCTCCCCAGTGAGTCCATCATTCCAGGATAAAGCTGTGTCCATCAGACAATCAGCCTGACTCCTCCACATCCTCCTGGAAGTAGCAAGTACTCTCCCCCACTTCTCTTAAACTCACCCGTATCCCTGAAGTGGAAGAGTAACCCAATATAAACCTAACATACCTTCTACTTTCATTAGGTATCTTTTTCCTAACACCACTACTATTTAACGCAGTCACCCCTACTTATACCACACCTCAGAAAGTCTCTGTTTGAGTGGTTACTTATAGATACCACACACTTCCTCATACATCATGAAAACAAAAGCTCTCTCCACACAGTTACCCCACTAAACCCCACTACAACCTTTAACAGCCACAGCCCTTGCTGGTTCCTTTGGTATCTGGGTAAAAGACTCCAACCACCCCCCACAGATTACTTTCTCATCTTTTCAGTTTACACTTCCAGTTCTGCCTAAGCCAAGGACTTTTTTTTCCTCTGTGGTTCTTCTTTTTGCATCTGCCTTCCTACCAACTGGATAGGCACTTCTACCCTAGTTTTCCTTGTTCCCAAAATTCAGTTTGCCAACAGAGACGAAAGCCTCCCTGTTCCCCTTGTGGTCCCGACACAAGTGGGTCATTCCATTGATCCCCTTACTTGTAGGGTTAGAAATTACTACTGCACTCAGCAAAGGCACAGCAGGCCTTACCACTTCAATTGTCACCTTCTGTAGCCTCTCTAATGATTTCTGTGCTAGCATTGCAGAAATAACTCAATCACTATCCCTTCTTAAGGCTCAAGTAAATTCCCTAACTGCAGTTGTCCTCTAAAGCTGCAGAGGTCTTGATTTACTAACTGCTGAAAAAGGAGGTCTTTGCCTATTCCTAAACAAAGAATGTTGTTTTTATGTAAACCAGTCTGGCCTCATATATGATGCCATCAAAAAACTGAAAGACAGAGCCCAAAAGTTTGATAATCAGGCAAATAATTATTCTCAACCAAGCTGGCCACTCTCTAACTGGATATCATGGCTCCTTCCATTAGCAGGACCCTTTATACCCATTTTTCTCCTTCTCTTATTCGGACCTTGCCTTTTCCGACTAACCTCTCAATTCCTACAAAATTGCATCCAAGCTATAACCAATCAGTCAATACAACAAAATGCTCCTTTTAACAACCCCACAATATCAACCTTTGCCCTAAAATCTCTTGGCAGTCTAAATTCTTTCCCATTTTTATGTTTCCGTGCTGCCCCCAATCCCACTCAAAAAAGCCCTGAGAAACATCGCCCCATCACCAGTCTGTGCCAGCCTTCCTAATATGCCACTGACCTTCACGCTTCATTTCTTTTTTCTTTGTATTACAAATATAAAAAGACAGGAATGTAAGATCTTTTAGGCTAGTTGACTGTGCCATGGACAGCATGGTAACCTCTGTGAACTGCACGTACACTTCAGATGAGTTCCTAGAACTAGGAAGTCTGAATTAACTGGAAAACCACAAAAGGAGAAGAAATGATCAACCCCTGCAGTGCCTAATTAACTTTGAGACATTCTTCAATTGTTCCTTAATTCTGCCTCAACTGATAAAGCAACTGGACTTTGTGACCGACCTTGGTCAACCTCCTGACTCCAGAGCCTATGACCCCCTCCCTCCCAGCTTGCAAAAACTGCCCTGAAGTGTAACTTCGGTAACTTTCCACTGCCTACCCCAAACCTATAAACACCAACTCCTATCCCACCACCCTGTGCTTACTCTCATTTCAGACTCAGCCTGCCCACACCCAGGCGAATAAATAGCCATGTTGCTCACACAAAGCCTGTTTGGGGGGTCTCTTCATTCAGAGCACACATTTAACAAAGATATTCTGAGGTTTTATTCAAAGGCTAACAATTTGTTCTAATAAACAGTATTAACTAAATATTTGGCTGAGTTTATTCAAAGTATACTACCCTTTCATAAGAGAGGCAGATCAACTGTTATGGACTGAGTGGTGTATCCCCCAAACTCACACATTGAAGACCTAACCCCCAATGTGATTATATTTGGAGAAAGGGCCTTTAAGGAGTAAATTAAAGGTAAATAAGGGCACACAGTAGGTCCCTGGTCCAATATGACTGTGTCCTTACAAGAAGAGCAAGACACCAGGGATGCACAGAGAAAAGGCCAGCTGAGACGTGTGAGCCAAGGAGAAAGGCTTCAGGACAAATCAAGCCTTCCAACACCTTGATCTTGGACAGAAGCCTTGAGAATTTTGAGAAATAAAGTGTTGTTTACACTGTCCAGTCTGTGAAATTTTGTTATGGCAGCCCTACAGGTGAATAAACCAATATTCATGAGAAATACATTCCAACATTCCTCTTACCTGGATATGCATATCTCTCTAACTTGTTGAGGTGTCAAAGCGAAAATAAAAAACTTCTCTTGAAATCGCTGAATACTGCTTTGAACTGGGAAGAAAAAAAAAAAGAAAGATAATATTTCAATAACAAATCCAATGCTACAACCACCTGCAATAACCAGGCATTTCTTAAAAAGTGCCTGCCAAATTCTGAAATTTGTAGTTAGAAGTACTAAACTACATTCATCTTGGGATCATGAGTAAAATCACTACAAAGGGGCTTCTTTAATGTTAACTAAGTAACCATTCTTTATTCCTTTATTCTAAAATACTAATGCAGGCCAGGCGGTGGCTCCTGACTGTAATCCCAGCACTTCAGGAGGCCAAGGCAGGTGGATCACCTGAGGTCAGGAGTTTGAGACCAGCCTGACCAACATGGAGGGACCCCCGTCTCTGCTAAAAATACAAAATTAGCCCAGCGTGGTAGTGCATGCTTGTAATCCCAGCTACTCCAGAGGCTGAGGGAGGAGAATCGCTTGGACCTAGGAGGCGGAGGCTGCAGTGATCTGAGACTGCAACATTGCACTCCAGCCTGGGTGACAGAGTACGACCCTATCTCCAAAAAAAGAAAAGAAAAGGCAAAATGGTCCTTCTATGTACTATTGCCCACAGTTTTCCTGCTACATGAACATAAACAAGTTGCCACTTGAATATCCAATGTCAGAGAGGTTCAACCGTAAGTCATACCAAGTCAGACAAATATTAATCCTATTAAAATATTCTTTTATTTAAGCACAGGCAGTTTATTATAGCAATTATCCTCCTAGAAATCATGTCATAAAATGGTTTATGTTTTTTCAGGACACTATAAAAAGGAGGGAAGAGAGGACGCCGTTTATAATGAAGGCTAAAAAGTAAAATAAAACGTTGGATTATAAACATAATTATGGAGCATCAAACACAGAAACATAAGTCTCTGCATTTCTTCCATTCCTATTCACTCCTCAACCCTTTCTTTCTTGTTCGGACTCCAGTTTTCAGTATCTACGGCTAAGGTCACCAATGATCTCTTAACTGTCAAATGTAATAAACTGTATTTTAAGATTACAAGTGAACATCCTGCATTTTAATCTTAATTAATGGCATGAGCACCCAGTCTGCTGAGCCAGAAACCTCAAAAGGTCTAACATAAGTACAAATGGAGTACCAAAAGAAGAGAGTGCAAATGAGGCATTAAAAAAGGAAAAATACTTGCAGAAATAATGAATCATAATCCTACCTTTGATGGAGAGAAAGGATTTACAATCAAACTCCATGTAAAATAATACAAAGAAAACTACCTAGTCACATCATAATCAAACCACTAAAAACCAACAACTATAAAATCTTGAAAGCAACCAGAGACCAAAGAAACAAGGGAACGGCAACACAAATAAAAGCCTACTTCTCATCAGAAGCAATACAGGCCAGAAGGTATCTTTAAAGTGGTGAAAAAATAAACTGTCAACTGAAAATTCAATATCAAAAGCAGAATGGAAGAATAACTTTGCAGATAAACAGAGGATTTAAGAATTTGTTGGGCCAGGTGCAGTGGCTCACGCCTGTAATCCCAGCACTCTGGGAGGCCAAGGCAGGCAGCTAACAAGGTCAGGAGATCGAGACCATCCTAACATGGTAAAACCCTGTCTCTACCAAAAATACAAAAAACTAGCTGGGCGTGGTGGCACGCGCCTACAGTCCTAGTTACTCGGGAGGCTAAGGCAAGAGAATCACTTGAATTCAGGAGGTGGAGGTTACAGTGAGCCAAGATCATGTCACTGCACTCCAACCTGGGTGACAGAGCAAGACTCCGTCTCAAAGAAAAAAAAAAAAATTTGTTGACAGCAGACATACATTACAAGAAATATAAAACAAAATTACCAGAATTATTTAAAAACATATAAATTCAAAACCGGATCTTTGGGAATGAAAATCACAACAGTAAGTAAGCGGTAAATATAAAATAGTATGCTGTATTTTCTTCTTGTAATTTCCTTAAAAATACTGTGAAAGTTAAAGTGATGGCACTGAAAGGCAGGATTTCTAACACAGGGAGGAAATATGAAAACAGCAAAAAAGGAATGGAAGGGGTGGATAAATTATCTCCCCAACAGTTGTGTTTCCTGCTTTATTCTGATAAACCTGATTAACTAAATCTCCCTAAAGACCGAGTCACTCTTAGCTTGCCAAAAGCAGCAGGTGTCTATACCTGTAAAGCTGGGCACAAGAACCTCTGTGAATTCACCAGGAGAAATGTCGGTATTTGAGGCCCTGTCTGGATGAGCGGAGTCAACTTATTCTGAAAAGTTCCCAAAAACCATGAACCTTAACCTAGAATGGTTCTAGAGTCATGTTATACATGTATGTTCCACATGTACTTTTATATTAAATTGTACTTACGTGTTGCACATATGCAACATATATGTACGATTTGTAGAATTTGCAGCTTAATGTTAGTATTTTATATCATAATAGACATATTCTTGCTGTGCCTTTAATTTTTCTGATGTATCTTTTACTTTACCTAGCATTTATTTGCTGTCAAATTTTCAATCCAGATTATGATCCCAAATAACCACCCTGCATTTATAGAATAATGGATCTGTGTCATTATACTATAGCCTCCAGGAACTTACAGCAACAAAATAGCCTCCAGGAACTTACAGCAACAAAAAGCTAGTGCATATGTTTTAGTAAAAATCTAATTTGTATTAACATTGACAGTTTTTAGGTAAGTCAATTTTATGATAGAACAGCAGCCAAAAGCATAGTAAACTTTCCATACAGTAAATTTGTTAGCTAAATGGTCATTTTAACATAAACCATGAGAGAGAGTGCAGGATGCAAAGTAAAGTATGCAGGTTTTGCAGTTTATTTTCTCCCCACTGTCTACAATTTGGAAATCAGGAAACCCAATTCTTCAGAGATTCCATGAATGCCTTTAGGTTAAGAGAAAACAAAAGAAAAAAAAGACCATGACTTAGGGCATGAATTAAATATGGCTTTATTCAAACCTTTTCCTTTTTCAACAACCCTTCATAATGTAGATTCTATTTTCCAAATATAACCACATTATCTCCCATTATGTCCTCCTTTTTATGTACACTTGACATACTTCCAATTGAGTAGTGGGGTCTTTATCACCCTCCCTTTGAATCTGAATGGCCTTTTATAATACCATCAACCAACAGTGTACAGTTTAAGTGACACTATATAGCTCCAAGGCTGAACCATAGAAATACCACATACATCTTCCTTGCTCTGTGGGGACACTCATTCTTGGAACCTAGCTCTCATGCTACAAAGAAGCCCAAATTAACCAGGTGCTATGGCTCACACATGTAATCCCAGCTCTTAGGGAGGCAGAGGCGGGAGGACAGCTTGAGACCATGAGTTGGAGACCTGCCTGGGCAATACAGCGAAACCCCGTTCTCCACAAAATGGAAAAAAAAAACAAAACAAAATGACAATAAATAAATAAATAAGCACAAGAAGCCCGAATTAGACCACATGAAAAAGCCACGTAAGGGTATTCCAGCCAACAGCCAAGCTAAGTCCAAGTCATCAGGTGGCATAGCTGCCAGATATGTCAGGGAAGATGCCTCCAAGTGATCTGGGCTTCCAGCCAAGTGCATCTCAAGGTAAGGTCTTCTCAGCTAAGACCCCAGACATCTTGGAATAAGAAACAAGCCACCTATACACTGCCCTTCCAAATTCCTGACCCAGAGTATTCATAAGCATAATAAAATACCTGCTTTACATCACTACATTTTGGAATACTATATTATACAGCAACAGTAAATAAAATAATGCCACAATGTTATGAATTTTAGCATAATTTTATCAATTCCAAATTATACTCAGCTTCATTTATAGTTACTAAATGAGTAGGCTACTGGTATGATATAATAGCTATGACTGCTCTAAATCTATAGGCCTTTTTTTCCTCTTTATTAATTTTAAACTTAACTAGACCAGAATATAACAATCCTATATCCTAGACTTAGCCCTATTGGTTACTATCCAAATTATTTAGGTGTTGGAAACAGGTTTATAACATTGAGAAGAATCCACATCCAGCCAATGGGTTGCTCAGTAAGGCTAGTTCACTTTCTGCAGAAAGGGTGTAACTCACTGGCAAGTCTTGCCACGAGAACACACCTGAACAAAGGAGACAGGGACATTTATGACTTTCATAACCTGAAGCAATCGCCCTACTGCTCTGTCCAGTTTCCACTGGCCAGAACAGAGCCTCACATTCCATGCTTAACCCAATTGGCTAAAAAATTGAAAGTTTCCTGAATAGATAAGAGGTAAAGAAGACAGGGAAGAAGAGGAAGCTACTCAGGAGAAGGCCAGGAGGGTTTCCAAATACAGAATGGCATGCACCAGGGTTTGGAGCTTACCCAGTTCTGTTCAGACATGCCAGAGCGAGTCAAGGTAGCTGATTTAGAGAATATATATACATGGGTATACGTTTATGCTAATAGCAGATAATGGCCATAGAGGAACAGACTGTAACTCCTTGTAATGTAGTTTAAGATATAAACTTTGAAGAGCTTTCCCGTATCTCACAATTCCCTCCTTTTTATTTCATAATTCTTCTTCAAATTTATTAATAGGCCCTTGCTTCGCTGTTTGGCTTGGATTTCCAACAAAAGTAATTTCTCTGGATAGGGTGGAGGGGGAGTTGGAGATAGGTTAGCGAGGGTAGTATTAATAAGACTTTTCACAAGTCTCTGAACACAGGGTATAACACAACATCCTACAAGAAGTAGTAAACTTAATACTGATGCCAAAGTGTCCTTCCATTTGCCGAACCAGTTCTCTAGCCAGTTTGAAATGGGTTTTTTTATTCTGGTATCTTGGCTAGTTCATTAGTTAGGGCCATAAGTCCCTGTAAGGCTCTCGTGTTACTTCCACCTGGAGCTGTTATTTGGAATGAAAGCACAGCATTGGGTCTTAATTATTACGCAAACACCATCCTTTTCAGCTAACATCATGTCAAGAGCAATCCTGTTTTCCCACGTCATTTCCCACTGCTCTGCAATTCCCTTAACAGCATCCTTG